CGGCTCCGCAAAGCTACAGCAAATGAGCCTGAAAAATAAACGCATTATATATAAAAAAAATTAGAAGGGTCTGTGCCTAGGGGCACGAACGGAAGCTTGACGTAGGACCACTAGTGGACGGAATAAATGTGAAGAGCATTTAGTTCTTTTAATTGATCAATTATCTATTATTTGAACTCTTTCCGTTTTTGAATTGTAGGCGTACCAAGTTTGTAGTGGGGGAGGTAGCTCATCGATTCTTCCGGTTCGCCTCCTAGCATCGTGCTATAAGGTACCAGGCGATAACCAGGGTAGTTGATCGATAGCTCGATGACATCATTTCGTTGGCGTCTGCAATGGGAAATTCTCATAGCAGGCGTTGACGATGGGACGTTGCGAGTTGTTGAATAGCAACTATCGTGGTAACTCACCGATTACCTGTCGATCTGCCAAATTTGGAAAGACGTCTGCATTGAATTGTCTCATATAATAATATTCCGCCCACTATATCACAAGAAATTGCGAGTAGCTGAGTGGAATGGAGATAAGTTAAGCATTGGGTACAGGACCAAGTCTCCCCTGGGTGGTGCCAAAAGATGAGCGCAATAGAATCATCAAGTTGCCATTAGGCACGGAATGAGACTATTGCATGGCTGGGTAGTCAAAGTCTTCCATTCGTTAGTCATTTCAGGTGGATTAGAACAGGTTTGGATTTTTCAGATATAAGATACATTCATACCATTGGCATTTGGTATTTGAGATAAAGACAGAGACAGGATGCGGAGGGCCCGCTTAGGGGGAGCGTAACCCATGTTATGGCTTCCATTTATTAAATAGTTCAGATAGGCTGGAAATGATAGGTTCATGGTGAGAAAATGTACCATATGGTGCCCGTTCACTGATCATTGCAACGTTGATGATTTCCTATAGTGACACATATCACCTTCTTAATGCTTCAGTATGCCTCAAACGATTAATTCTTAGTTGTTAATAGAACTTCCTTGATGAAATCGGCTGCTTCATGCAGACTGAGCAATTCTGATTATAGTGTCAGATTTGTTCTGTATACAGAGGAACTGGGAGGGCTTATTAGAAACTTATCACCAATAAAATAATGATCTTCTAGTAAATTTTGCATTTAATTTTATTAATATTTTATTTTATTTAAGCATATTATTTTTGTTACAGTCAATTTGCATTAGCATATGATACAAGAGATTTAATATTACTTGCTCGTTTTCGCGTAAAATAATCAATATTTATCTTACTTGTAATTACCTTTGAAAGTTTTTTTTTTTAAGTTTTTTTTTGTGATCTGAAAATTTACCCAGTTTGGTTAGAAGTTTCGAAGCTAACGCATGTCCACAGGCCTAATAGAAAGATAGGCAGAACAAGTGTATCATTAAGAATGGTTGCATGCAGGGTTGCTTCCACTCACTTGCTATAGATGAGTGATTTTCGGAGCTTTGAATTCGTTAGATGTTGTAATGGAGATTTGTGCTGTTGGATGCGGGTGGAGATTGGAGGGCGGGTGTTTGATGCATAGAGCCTGTCAATTTCGCTTTCAGAGTGTCGCAGTCAGCGGTTTTATGATTCGTGAGCGCTCGCGATTCGTAGAATCGTTGATTGTGACTGCTAGTGGATTTGACGGGTTTTGTGTTTCGGACGCTTGTTTTTGGCCTTTTCTTGTGTCTAACATGTGCAGAGTATCATTATAACGTCTACTGGTTTTGAGATTCCTGGTGGCGTGAAATATATTTGTGAGAATATCTTTTTGAGATTTTAACAGTCACGTTTTGTTTGTAGTTTATATTTTATTTATTCATGTAATTATCGTAAATAATAGTTATTCAATAATAGATAGTTCATCCATATATTCGTACTTTGACGCGAAGCGCTGTGGATTATGAGATGCTCGATGACCCTGGAGGGATCGATTTTGCTTACTGAGCAGAAAATCATAGATTTAACCCCAAGCTCTTCAACAGCACAATAAATCGCCACCATCATGTGTATATTTGATATTAAACATTAACCTTGGAAACTATTTGCATATCAAGCGAAAACGTAGTCCTGTATTGTCGCGAAGCGTTATGGTTCTGAGATGCTCGATGACCCTGGAGGGATCGTTTTTGCTTACTGAGCAGAAAATTATGGGTTTAATCCCAAGCTCTCCGTCATGACTCTTAAAATTCATTATCACTAAACAAAATTAATATGTTCTTTCGATAGCCGGCTATCGAGAGATTAAATAAACAACAAATAAACAATACATACTTTTGGTTGCATCGCCAACTTGAGGTGAATCCTAACCGAATACCCTACCCAACCCTCCAACTCCGTAGCACTTATGAGGGTATCGCTAAGTCGGTGGCCTCTCGTTAAGTAAGTACTACATCAACATTTCCTTCCCTATCCCTAGTTATGGTAAAGATGGGCGTGGCCGGGAATAGCGACAGTCATGCTTCTGTTACTCTTGTTTAGATTGGAACCAATGTTTACTCCTCAGCATTATTCCTGAAAGTAGTCTAACTGAGAATTTCAGAAGAGACGTGAGTGTCGCTAGTATCCAATCTACGAAGTATATCATAACAACGCTAACGCTAACGCTAACGCTAACGCTGTAGGCGTACCAAGTTTGTAGTATTTTTTTAATATCTTTATTAAGGAGACTTTCAGCCGTTGGCTGGCTCGTCTCCGAGAAAGTAATTTTTTTCAAAGAGAAAGTTGATTAAGAGATTCAATCAAAATCACTTGCACCCCTGCTCCCAAATTTGGTTACAAGATTACAACTCTGGAGAGCATTTTGTGGTCGTTGGGGGCTTGTGGTTCTGAATATGGACAAACAAGCACAGATAAATTCTATTCTAACTCTTTACTAATGTAAGCTTCATGGCCCTGAAAAGGGCCATTTTATTGAAGAGGACATCCATGGCCACTTACGCTTGGCGTGTTTAGTGTAGGTGACAGCATCACGGACCTCATTTTCCAGGAACACCTTCAGCACACCTCATAGATCAGACCGGAGATACGTTTGACACCACCACGGTGAGCCAGACGACCGATGGCGGTTATCTCGAAGAACTTTGCAATGACGCTTGGCGCCTCCTTTACCACAACAATTGTTGCTTGAGTGGACTAGCCACCACCTTCCTACTGCTGCTATTGCGGTTCACCACGTCGTCCGAAGCGAAAATGAGCTAATGCCATACAGCAGCGCTCTTTTATATCTTTTCAGGTTAAAGCAGAATGATGTGCAACCAAGTGGTATAAAAGCTACAAAGACTCCTCCCATTATGAGTAGTTTGCTATCAAGTAGCGACACTGGCTCTTTTCCTTTTGCGTACACGGCGAATGAGAACGACCAAAATTTGAGTTTAGCTCACTCATAATCTTCAAAAGTGCAGGAATTCAGCGATGTGTAAATTTGTCTCATGGTTTCCTGTGGAAAACCTAAAAAATCTGCCAGAAAATGAGGAAATTGACGAAAATTTTATTCAGTCTCGGAGTAGTACCAATAAACTGAGTGAATCCAATATTTACTTTTCTCGAATTCGGGAATTTTTCCCTGGAAAATCCTTGAAAATCCTGGAACAACCTGGGAAAACATGAGGCAAAATTACTCATCGCTGAGTTCCTGCACTTTATTTCTTATTTCTGAGATAACTAAACTCAAATTTGGGTCGATCTCATTCGCCGTGATATCGCCTTGAAAGATATGGGCGCCGGTGGTGTAGTGGTAAGCGTGATTACCTCTCACCCCAGCAGGCCTGGGTCCAATCTCAGTCGGCGCCACCGGCATGTTCTAAGGCATAACATCTCTGATCACGCCTTCCTTCACTTTTCAATAGGTCCTATCTACATTGATAGATTCTCTTCATCGACACTTTCTTTCGTAAATAATTCGGCTTCACAAATATTTCCTGCCGCCTTCGTCGAATTAGATGCTAGATTGTTGCTTCTTCCATCGAAAATATCCGGCCGTGGCGATTCAAAGTTGATCAAGGTTGATCAAAATAATTTGTACCCCTCTTTATTCTAATAAGCTTGGTGGCGCTGAAAAGAGCCGTTTTGTTGCCAAAGTTGGTGATGATTTAACCTCCGAAACCAAACAGAGTGCGTCTTTGTCACTTCAAAACGTAGATGACATCCATGGCCGCTTACGCTTGGCGTGTTTAGTGTAGGTGACAGCATCACGGATCTCATTTTTCAGGAACACCTTCACCACACCTCGTAAATCAGACCGGAGATACGTCAGACACCGCCACGGCGAGCCAGACGACGGATGGTGGTTATCTCGAAGAATTTGCGTTTGGTTCTGAATATGGCGATGAGTGTGCAAAATATTACGCAATTCCATCCTCCCTATTCCCGCGCGCCCGAGGATCGGAGGCGAATGCCACTTCGACTTGTTTCGTCTACTTACTACTCTCTGACGACTGTGCTAGGGAAGCAGCATATGCGTGTAGGTAATTGGTGGATTTGTTAGTTAATTCGACGCTTTTGGACAATGCTGGACATTTACCAGTTTTTCAATAGTTTGTTGTTAAAAATCAACATTCGGAAGCATTGTCATTGATGCGTAGCCATATTTCTGATCGATTGGTGATAAAATTATTGAAATTGGTCCAGAGGTAGCTGAGTTATTAACGTTCAAAATCTTTCTTAATTTGTTACATGTTCCATTTTCGGTTTTCACAAAGTGTACCCCCATATAGAAATCAAAGACGTAGTCCTACGTCAAAAAAAGTACAAGTCTAGCAGACCTGTGTGGTATGTTCAAAGGTCATAAAGGAAAAGTTCAGAGCAAGCCCTGAGATCATATGAGTCAAGTTTATGGGACTATGATGGGTCTTATTGGGCAAATCTAGCGGTTTATAACATCGCCATATATTCGCAAGAGAAGTCAAACATCAACAACGTTCAACATAAAAAAGCGCATGCATTTATTTGTTCTACTATTGATAAACAGTATTCCCAAAAAAACCTCGCCATTCTACAATGCATAAAGCTAAAACCGCTCAAGCGAGATAGTCATACACGTCCTTTTCGCCCGCTCGCCGTTCGATGTACTCCTTGTCCACCAAAGCGTCAATACACTTCCGAACAATCTGAACCTTCGGTATGAAACGCGTCGCTAGCTGGTTCAAGACTTCCCCCACCAGCTGCGAATGCAGTAAGCTTCTCCGGGTCTTCATGATCCTCACAATCGCCGCCTGAATCATAAACTTTCGATCATTTTCAATGGATCGATTGGAAGATTCCTGCTCCACCTTGACTTCCGCCTTCAATGGGTGGTTGATATTGATTCTGAGCTTCTTACTGCCGAAGGCTGTGTTCAGTTGAACCGAGGATTCTTGTTTCAAGTCCCCTTCATCGCTGCTCGTCAGTAGTTTCACCTTAAGCAAAATTTGAATTACCTGTATCAAGTAGTCTAGCTTGACGTTGACGTGTTCAACCAATTGTTGAATGGTACAGGAAGGATGTTCATTGAACTGCATCAATACAGCGATCTGTAGAGTACTGACCTGTAGCGTGTACCGTTGAAGGAAGCAATTCGTTACGACTTCACCGCGTGACATGCTGTACAACCAGATGAGCTTTCGTCCGGAAAAGCGTCTTGCGTAAAACTTTTGAAACGATTCCACAGCCTGTTCCACCGAGAACGGAAGCGTCAGTGTGAAGCTTGGACTAAGCGGCCACGTTCCATCCGACAGCACTAGAATATTGAAATCAATGTCGCTACATGAACTGCAGCAATTGTTTGACATCTGTTGGTATTTTGCGTTGAGTCCCTTCGATATTTCCATATCCTGGAGCATCCTGTGCAGCTTGCGGGCGTATTCGAAACCACAAGTTTCCTTAAGTTTGGAGATCATCAAGGCCTCGGCATCATCGCTGGTCGAGAGTTGTAGACACAGCCGCTTGGATAGCAGCTTGCTGTAAAACTTCTCGAAAGCGTCCTTATCTTCGAGAAATTTGAACACGGTAATTGCTTCGTTTAACGAGTCGTCAAAGTCCTGTTCCTCCAGATGCTTGCTAGATTTCCTCAACAGCATGTCACAGTATCTGGCAAGATTTTCCGAGCTTTTGCAGAAACTTTTGCTGGCATCTATGATGGCGTTCCGGTTGACAAATTTCCCGAAAGCTGTATTCATCGCAGCTATGAAAATGTTATCGCTGTTGAACGCCGCATGTATCAAGGTACTGTACCTTCTGTAAACCGTTAAAATTGTCTGAACGTAAAGCATCGGATCAGTCAATGCCGGGTCTCCAGCTTTGAGCATCGCGTTCAATCCTTGTTTGTGAATGTAGACTTCCAAATGTTTGCCCAATTCGGTTAGTACTCTGTCGACTTTCAATCTAACCATCAGCTGATACAAGCGAATCAAATCCGGGATTTTCTCCAAATCTAATAGATTTTTGAACTCGCCGTAAATCCGAGACAGGTACTTCTTAATCAGTACTCGTTCGCAAACAGTCATCAGTTTTTCCCGAGTGCTATTGTGCAATAGAACAACGGCACGTTTCTCCTCTTCCTTCAATCGAACTTCTACGTATTTCAAATAATCGGAAACCGAATAGTTCTTCAGAAACTCTGCGCTCTCCGCTGTGTAGAACTCTTCGGTATGCTCCAAAAATGCATCTTGGAAACATTCAATATACGTAGACAAATTTGGTCCGTCGAAAAGCGGTTCGCTCTGATCGAGATTGCTACTAAGTTCCACGTAGCTGCTGATCGTTTCCGTAACCAGTCGCGTATTGATGGTCTCACCACTTCGTTCCCGATCGAACAACTTGAGCAGTCCCGTGCTCATCTGTTTGCTCAAATTTTTCAACAGGTTCTCGCGCCATGTGAACAGCGCTAGCTGGTAGATCTCATGAACATTCGTACGCCTTTCTTCACATTCTCGTTTCTGCCAGTGCCGGTTGAGGTAGGAGCATAGGCCATTCAGAACTTTGCTGGAGAATTTAAAGTCTTCCCATTGCTTTGTGTAGAAAAGCAGCATTTCGTCATCCATCAGGTCGGAACCATGGCTGTGCAAATCTTCTAAATAGCCTTCGAGGAATCTCGTTAGGTAGTAATACAATTCCCGACCGGAGTGTTGGGATTCATCTGCTAGTTTGGTGGAATCACTCCGGGAAAACAGCGTCTGGCCAAGCTGCCAATCGGATGCTGAACGTTGTACCTTTACGCTGCAGTTGTACACGTGAGTGTACAGTTCCATGTAGCGCCCAGATCGGATGTTTTGGTCCCGTCGGAAGATCTGCTGGATGCCAGCTTCCAAATCGGCCCAAACCTCGTCTATCTTGATTTTCTGCCGAGTAGCGGGACAGGACATGGTGCACAGTCGATGGAGGTGGAATTCTCAGGTATCTTCGGAAAACGATGTATGCGCGTTGCGAACGGGTTCACTCAAGGAAACTAACTAGAAAGATGACTCCGTAGTTAAGCGTTTTCAAAGGTTGGTTGGTAGAAATGAAGGTTTGGATGGAAGAAACCTCAACTGAATATTAGCTTTCATTCATACCTGCGGGGATTCACAGCAGAGTTGTCCCACTTGCTTTCAGTGATTAATAATTATTGAAAGAAAAAACATTGAGGGTGAATAGGTCTAGTTATACAACTCCCATGCAAAGTCAAAAGGTTCGGTAGACATCAAATAATTGTTTTGAGAACCTTCAATAAGTTCTCTCCAGCAAAAAAAAACTACCATTAGAGCATAAAGAACTCTGACAGGAACCGCGGACAATTTATGAGTAGATGTTCCACCGTTAGAGGAATCTGGCAGAACTGGCATGTTGGTTCTAACTCCAAGACGAGATAATTCTTGTTGTTCTCTGCGACTTTTCCTGTCCGTCCATCTTCGTACATCTCCTTTTATTTTCCTCAGAAAAAGGACTCTGTTTGCGGCCCACTGCTGATGCCATTGTTAATGGAATGCGCGATTGTTCTGCGAATATCAGAACTTGGTATGTTGAGGTCCAATTTTTCGGAGCTTCGGTTGAGGCAAGCGAGACGGTCTGCTTCCTCGTTGCCTTTAATGCCGCAGTGGACAGTTATCCAACACAATGTGATGTTAGCTCGGGCGGCAATCTCAATGGCTTTAGTTAAGGGGTGCTTGGGACCGATGCGATTCCATATCCGATCTCCAACCCGGTGGACTTCTGCTACCGGAGGGAAAACGATGTTGGCGTACTCTTGAACAAGGTTTTTAGCTTTTTCAAGGATGATAATGTTTCTGGTTTCTCCGTAAGTGTTTTTTTTTTAAATATAGCTGATGGATCTACTGGATGCTTCGGTCGCCAGTAAGAACTGAAACGGAATGACACCAACTTCTACACATGTGGCCAAGGTAGGTGAGCTTGGAATCCGGAAGTTAGTCGCATCATCCTATTGTGCACGGGGCTTAGAGTGGGGGAGGTAGCTCATCGATTCTTCCGGTTCGCCTCCTAGCATCGTGCTATAAGGTACCAGGCGATAACCAGGGTAGTTGATCGATAGCTCGATGACGTCATTTCGTTGGCGTCTGCTATGGGAAATTCTCATAGCAGGCGTTGACGATGGGACGTTGTCGAGTTGTTGAATAGCAACTATCGTGCTAACTCACCGATTACCTGTCGATCTGCCAAATTTGGAAAGACGTCTGCATTGAATTGTCTCATATAATAATATTCCGCCCACTATATCACACGAAATTGCGAGTAGTTGAGTGGAATGGAGATAAGTTAAGCATTGGGTACAGGACCAAGTCTCCCCTGGGTGGTGCCAGAAGATGAGCGCAATAGAATCATCAAGTTGCCATAAGGCACGGAATGAGACTATTGCATGGCTGGGTAGTCAAAGTCTTCCATTCGTTAGTCATTTCAGGTGGATTAGAACAGGTTTAGGTTTAGGGTGGGCGTTGGCCAGATTTGGATTTTTCAGATATAATCCTAAATAGGACCTAGATTATTTAATACACTAGTAACCTCAACTTCTGTCACAATGTTTCATTGTGACTAATCAACACTCAATGGGTAAAATATCAAATTTGCGGTAAATTTGAAAAAAAGGGAACTTGGAGTGTAGAGTGCACTGCCCACTGGACGATTCTGAAGCCTGACCAAGTGAGTGGGTTACGGGTTTATTTGATTGTACGTCATTTCCAAGTTATATATAGATACATTCATACCATTGGCATTTTGTATTTGAGATAAGACAGAGACAGGATGCGGAGGGCCCGCTTAGGGGGAGCGTAACCCATGTTATGGCTTCCATTTATTAAATAGTTCAGATAGGCTGGAAATGATAGGTTCATGGTGAGAAAATGTACCATATGGTGCCCGTTCACTGATCAAAATTAGATTCAAATCGTCAGGCCCTGCCCTGGAATAAGGGAATTGACGATGATTTGTCAAGTTTCATTTTGCATTTGCATATAATTGTAAGTTTAGGTTTGCTTTTGTAATTGTAAGATAGATAGTTTGCCTCAATTGAAACATTGAGTTAAACATGACGAATCATACCTCTAAAATAGTAGTAGTTACAGTGCCGCATTATCTAACTTTTGTTTTGTTTGTTTACATATAACTAATACTAATACCTCCTTGTTTTCTCTCTAATTTGTCTGCTATGTCCCACCATCACGATGAGAGATGAGCTACCGTACATGGTACACGCTCATATACACTCCCAAAATAGTATGCCGCAAGTAAGTATATCACAGAGGCAACTAAAGATCCAGAAACAAAAACCGATAACGCTGAACGGCAGATTGGTTTACAGTGGTCGACCAGGGTGTGTGCGGATAAATAACAAAATTACAATTAGGGTAGATGTACCAGTTATGGCTGTGCGTTCCTGTTGTGGTGTGTTCCAATCATGGCCTATGGAAATCCTATATGCCATAATTGGAGCACATCATAGTAGGAGCGTATAGCCATGACTGGTACATCTATCCTACATCATTATTCCATACATCAGCTTGAATTACGTTGATCGATATTACATTTTTTTTTGCTGTGCACTACACCACCCGAGCCAGCAAAGTTCAACAATCCATCGTTGCTTATGCCTTTGTTGTCGTTTGGAACCAGTTTTGCGAGGTAGGTGACGATTGTGCGTATTTCTCGCGTAAATTTTGAAAAGGGCCTAGCCTGAACAATACGTAAAGAGCAAATTGAAACATTGTACGTCGCGTGAATGTGGAACTTAATGAAGGCCTAAGTACTTTTTCGTAGTTTTTAGTTTTCGGATTTGAAAGATCGTCGGTTACAGTAGCCTGCTTACTGAGCAGAAAAACGCGGTCCCAGGTCCTTACATATCAAAGAGATTTATAGTAAAATCGCTTGTGTATCGTGTATTTTGCGAAACTCGTTGTTGTCGTTGGTTCCGGGTTTGAATGGATACAAAAATTTGAGCAACGGTATTATGTGATATGAGGGGCTCGGTGGCCTTAGAGCAACCGTTTTTGCTTACTGAGCAGAACATCATGAGTCTAATCTCAGGCCCATCCACAATCAAGATTCGTCAATCGTTTTATTTGTTAATATGACTACATGGTAATAACAGCAACTCGGTGATTAAAAAGGTGCTCGTCTGCCTAGTGGCAAACGTTTTTGCTTACTGAGCAGAAGACCGTGGGTTTAGTCCCAAGCTCCTTCGCGTTATATGATCGTTAGGACATTAATTCAGCTTATCGTTTACCAAAACGAACCCTGCTGCAAACCCAACCCTCTTATCCAACATCCCAGTGATTCCTCGTGGAAGTGCAGAGGTGTTCTCGGCTTCCATCAAAGCGAGTGTCATGTCAACACAATCCTTCCCATTCCTTTCTTGACCTGTGTTCGGGCGCGGCCGGCGCTGGTATTGCCTAATTCAAGATCACCAGTTTTTACACATTGAGGATGATTGCTAGTCCCAAGCATCGTCTATTGGTTCTCTGTGTAATTACAGCTGATCTGGCAATAACAGAGTAGCAACCGTGGGCGGTCAATCAAGCTCAAGCTCATCCTATTGTGCACGGGGCTTAGAGAGTTTGCTGCCGATGACCCAACAGTAATTTCCAAACCGTAAAGTAATTTGCTGGTAACTACCTATACTGCGTCCGATGTTCTGAAGAGCTATTCTGTTGTTTGTTTTGTGTCTACCGCTAATCGCTTTAATCAGACAGATTCTACTTTCAGTTTCTTTCTTAACCAAATTGAAGTGGGCGTCGAAGTTGCATTTGCGGTCGAAGGTAATTACAGGATTGATCCACGGGTGGTGTTACGAATTACAGAAAAGTGAAATCGAGCATTTCTCGGCAGCCACGGTGAATCCGATACTGTCCACCCATTTGGAGATCGCTCAGAGAGCTGTTTGTAGTTTTGGACGAATAATTTTGGGGTTTGCACCTACCACAACAATTACAAAAATATAGATGTCCTTTGGTAAATTCGTAAATACTGAGCTCATTGCGACCAAGAATAAGGTGATAGCGGTGCCGGTGGTGTAGTGGTAAGCGTGATTGCCTCTCACCCCAGCAGGCCTGGGTTCAATCCCAGTCAGCGCCGCCGGGATGTTCTGAGGCATAACATCTCTGATCACGCCTTCCTTCGGAAGGGAAGTAAAGCCGTTGGTCCCCGGTTCATGAGTTGATGGGTCGAAAGGTAGGGTCCAGGTGTGGGAGCTGCCTCCCTGGCATCGGTAGCATTGGTGCTCAGCACGGAAAACAAGATCGACGGAAAACAAATCAAAGAAAAAAAAAAGAATAAGGTGACGGCAAGGACTGAGCCTGGAACTTTGGTGTCACCGATTAGGACTTGGAATGTTCACTCCTTCAGAAAACCCTGGACGAATTTGCCCTTGTTACCTACAATATCCCTGCCTATAAACTGTTGTAGTACAGTAGGACGCCAAATTCGGTTGTATGCTTTCGAAAGATCTAAAGCTGCGATGTCAACATGCTGCTCATGCGATTTAAACGATTGTGCTCTTGTAGTTCGGTGATGAGTCGTCGGTTGACCATGCGCTCCATAACCTTTGAAGCGCAGTTAGTAAGTGGAATTGGTCGATAATCATGTGGATTGGGATGACAAAACTGTGATGCCAGTCGGTGGGGAAGGTTTCGTCGGCTCAGATGTTGATCGCTTTAGCAAATGATAACTCGCATCGTCGGGGTCTGCGGACTTTCCTTTTGTGGAATCAAGAACGAAGATTAGTTCTGCAAGGCTGAAGGATTTGTTGAAGTCGCGATTGTTTTTGTTATCGTCTGGCATGAAGAGGTCGACTGTTGCACTTTTTTTTCTTGAGCAGTGAGAAAGCCGCCTCGGAATGCTGCGAACGATGATATTTCAGCGAAGAATTTTCCTATGATAT